GTAGGAACCAGGTCCAGATCCGATTGCATAGGTACACATTTAATCCAGAAAGCAGTCCTGGTAGGAGGGGGTGCTAAATAATCGGCTAGATATTTCAGATTTCTTACATTTTAACCTCCTGCCAATGTGTGATTTACATAAACAGCACGGCCTCAAAGCAGTCAGGGTAAATGCTTTAAAATGCTCTAACATGTTAGGTTCGGGGGAGAAGGAAGCTCCAACTGGAAGATAGTAAAAACCAATGTGATCTGAAATATTTCTTCCAGGAGGGAGCATTTTTTCCTTCAAATTCATCTATGCTGTTTTTCTGCAACATTTATGAGCAGGGAAGCCCTTTTACTGCAGAGGAAGCTAAAGAGACGGGGACATAATTTACAGCAACAAGAGGTAGAAAACGGCACAGCAATAAAAAAAAAAATAATGCGTAAAGAACCTAAAAAACACCTAAAAGCCAAAGGGAGTTTTTTTTTTATTAACCATCTTAACCACGTACGCTTCACTTGAAATAGATTAACAATCCAGAAGCTTCACAGATGTCAGTTTTGGAGCGTTAAAAATGTAAAAACTCAAATATTAATTTGGAATGAAGACTTGTTATTTCCCCCTGCTAGATGAAGGTTAAATAGAAAGGTTTTTAAACGGCTCACTTGCTCCTGATAAAGGTTCCCAAAATCAAAGCGTTTTTACATCGCCGCCGTTCCGAAGGTGATTCACATAAACAGCATGTTTCACACTTTACAACACAAACCGCACCGTAAAAAAAAGGACTGGGGTTAAATTAATGGTTGAAGTTTTGCAGGAAAACGTTCAGGGTAGAATATTAAAATGCAGCTTAATCGATATTACGCTGTTACATAACCAAACTCAAACTACAGGCAGATAATGGAAAACCACTTAGAATATGTAAAAACATGGTATGGAATATCCTCCTGGAAGTTATAAAATCGATAACCATGGCTGGTCTGAAATGCCCCGTGGCTAATGGCTCCATTTTATGCCCGAAACAACAAAAATCATACGAAAAAAAGCGAAGGATTGAAACCAGCAGCACCCTTCTAACGTGTAACAACGCAAAACAACAACAGAGAAAAGAGGTGGAGAAATAAGAGTAACAGCTGCCATGAAAGGATGAAGCTCTGGATATCTTAACATTATACTATATACAGTTCCTCTAATGGCGTAAGGCCTTAAACTTTGGGAATAAGGCAGCCAAGTTGTTGGTTTCTTTCAATAAATACTGCCCAAAGCGGCCTGCATCTCCATCTTCTCCCTACTGACTCACATTCTCCCTTTTTTTTTGTTGAAGATAATAAACAGTACAAGAAGTATAGGCTTTGAGAATTTTCACACATGAATCAGTTTGTTTTTTTCCCACTGATGTTGGTTTATGATAAAAGTATAAAGATTATGTCAGAAATTCAGCACCTGGCAGCTTAAGACGCCACCTTTTTTTATAATTTCTTTTGATATGGCAGGCAACACACCACAACTTTTATGTGCATATACCATCATAACCAATAATGTCTCCTTTTGGTTGAGCTCAAACTGCACGTGTTAAAAGGAGAACCTGTTTTTGGTTAAGTCTCGTGTGTCAGATTTGCAAAGAATCTCTTCTTCCTACGTTGTTCATAAAGTATAAATATTGCATTACTGAAGATAACCCTTCGAAGCTCACGTCTCTGCTCTTAGTCGGTGCATGCTGCCACAGAGTGCTCGCACCCGTCTCTTGAAATGCTTACGTTTTAGATCACAGATGAGGGAGAGAAATGAGTAAATACTGAAGTCCTTGCTGACAAACGATGAGGGAGGGCAGGGTTTCTGTGTTTGGGCGGGGTGGTACTGGGAAGAATGGCACTTTCAACAGAACAAACAGCCAAAGTCCAGACAAACTCACATGAACTATGGGTTAAAAACAGATATATTACATATGCACCAAACTGAACCGACAGGGAACAGAAATCATACAGAGTAGAAGAGAACGTTAACCCAGCATCTCCACGGTGGTCGGCTGGTCTTTGCTCTCTAGCCAGTCAAAACCAGAGTTCACGGTATCACTGCATATCTGCTGGAAAAGCGGGTCGTTCTTCAGTTCTTCCAGTGTCGAGTCTTCATACTGCTCCTGCTGCTGATTGGGGTCGAACAGCAAGTTAGCGTCCAAAGTGTTTAAGTCAGTGATGCTACTGGACAGATCTGAGGTCAGTCTGATGTCGTTGGAGAAGTCGGACGCCACGGCGTTCAGCTCCGAGGCGACCTGACCCACCAGCTGGGAGCTGGGGTTGAGGCCTTCCTCTCCCAGCAAGTCCTTGACAGTGTTGTTGAAGTCGAGCTGCTGCTGTTCGTCCTCCGCCTCCTGCGGCTGCTGTGTGCTCTGGAGGAGGAGCTGCGGTTGTGTCTGAGCAGGATCTTCTTGGAGTTGCTGCTGGTGTTGGTCTTGCTCACTGGGACCTGCTTGTGCTTGATTTTCCCCAGCTGTGAGGAAGCCATGCTGCTGGAGCTCGAATGCGGCTGGGCTGGAGCTGACGGGCAGCTGAGTCTGGGGAGCGCTTCCGCCCGTAAAGCTGGGGGCAGTCTCCAGAATCTGCGTGAGGTTCATGCGAGCCGTGTAGTTGGAGGGGAGATTGTTGATGCCCAGGCCGCGGACGGAATCGTCTCCGTCTGCCTCCATTTTGCTGAGGAGGACACTGGTGATCTTGGCGGTGTTGCTCTGACCCTGCACTGGCAGCATCTCGCTTTGCATCATGATGGTCAGAGGTACAGACTGGCTGCGCTGCACCATGCTGTGCACAGAGCTGACAGTCTGGCTGTTGGAAAGGATGTTGAGCACCTCGGAGGTGATGGGGGAGTTAAAGGGTGAGACCACGGCTCGAGTTGTTGTTGTGGTGCTGCCGGTGGTGGCCGGGGGGTTGGTGTTACCGCTGAAGTTCCTCTGCCGCACGGCGGGGCTAACGCTGCGGCAGCGGAAAGTGCTGGATGTGGACGAGGCTGAAGCCTTGCTATCCAACGGCGCAGGTACAGCAAAGCTCTCCTGCTTGGTAGGCGTCGTCACCCCAGTTACCTGCTGCTGCTGCTGAACTGGAGAAATTGGCGTCACTCGCCCAAAGTGAGCTCCGTCCTGCCTTGCCTGAGACTGGAAAGACTGGCCAGGGATTGCAAATGCGTGAGGTTTGCGAAACTGATCATCCACCAGGTCTTGGTAGCTTGGCAGAATGCCGATGCTGTGGTTAGACAGAGGTCCAGCAGAGTTACTGTTGTAGCGGTTGTTGATCCACTCCAGCTTGGCCTTGTCAGGGTGCGTTGCCATGGGCCTTTGCATGGGTTTGACCGGGCTGCTGGACACAATGCTTGCGTCGTGATATCCAGTGATGCTGGAGTTGATGGGAGTGAAAGCAAAAGGGTTCCTGCACTCCACCGGGCTTGGCGGCACGCTGCTACTGCAGTTAGACAGCGGCGTGCTGATAGGGGTGTGTCGGCCCATTGCTCCGTCCACAGGGGTGACAGGAGCCATTCGGGAGCAGGGACTCTCCCTGGTCAGGGTGTGGGCGAGTGTCATCTCAGAAGTGGGGGTGGGCGTCGGCGTGGGTGTCGGAGTTGGGGTAGGGGTCTGAACAGGGGTAGTACTGCTGTGAGTAGAGTGGTAGAAGGTAGAACTGGCTTGATGGGAGGCGAGGATGGAGCCCTGGCTGCCGGCCGACTGACCCTGTAACCCAGACACCTCCACGCAGTTACCAAACAGACCCTTCAGTTTCATCTGCTCCTCCATTTGGACCAGCTCCTCCACGATGCTGTCCTGCGTCATGTCGTCATCGTTGAACGAGAAGTAGTCCATGTTAGGCTGAGACCCGGTAAAGTCCACCATCTGTGTGAGGGTGAGCTGGCCCGAGGCATCGGATGGTTGTGCCATCATGGAGAGCTGCTCAGCGGGGGCCTGTTTGTGTTCTGCTGGTATCTGCTGAGGCTCCCATATTGTGCTCTTTATGTCGCGCACAGAGGCTTCGTGTGGTCCTGAGTTGGCTGTAACGGTACAAGGGTCACCAGTGATCTGCTGCAGCAGGGCCTGGTCGGACGCATTGCTACCTGTCGATCCGGCAGAGGGGTCGACACTGATAGAATGGTCTTCTTGTTTCATATCTTGCTGTTTCATGGCAGTCTGCGTTCCTTCGGTGTGTGTGAGAGGGGCATCTGTAAGTGCAAGGATCTGTGTGGTCCCCGGAGCCGTGTGTTTGGAAATGTCTTTGCAGGGAGCACTCTCTGGTCTAGCAAGGGTCCCTGGTCTGGTGATTCTCTTTATCGCAGTGCTGACCCCAGGTTTGGGATTGTCAATAATAGCAACCGGTTGCTGGGAGATAAACACTCTCTTAACGGGAATAACGTGGGACTCCCCAGCTGCTCGCTTCCTGGGGCTCTTGCCGTCTAAGCAGGCATCCTTTGCCGTCAGAGTAACAGCGGAGGAGCCGTTGGACGACATGTTGCCGTTGGAGTTCTGATTATCAACAGTCAAATACAAAGTACTGTCAAGGCAGTTACTGTTATTGCTGTCCTGAATCCCAGATGCAGAGCCAGGAGGGGAGGTGGAGTCACTCTTTGTCCTCAACCCTTTCTCCAGTCCTGGGGAACACTTCACCAGGAAGCTTGGCTCACTTGCAGCTCTGAATTTAACCATTTTCTCCTCTTTGACTCCACCAACTTGTTTGTCTGCTCCAGACAAGGAATTGTTGTCACCCCCGGCTTCAGACACCCCTTTGGCCTCTGCAGAGAGGGTCTGGGCCGATGCTGCAGGGCCAGATTTGACCACAGGAGACTGGGGAGCTGCCGAATTCCCACTCTGGGACTGCTGGGAATCATCTGAAGCAGCTGTGGTGTTCAAGCCAGCAGAGGCTGGACGCACACTGCTGTTACTGCTGCTGGGAGCCAGAGCAATGGCCGTCATCTTCACCACGTTGACAGAGCTGACGTGGGGAGAGGGCATCACGGTTTTTATGGGGCTGTTGGTTATGAGCAGGGTCGGGGGAGAGCGCAGGGTTATGGCGCTCGTAGCGGAAGGCTTAGGAAGGATTTGGGCGTACCGAGTGCCGTGTCTAACCAGTCTGTCTCCGACAGGACTTGCTGGGACATTCTGGGGCGTTTTGGGAGACTGTTTGAGAGACTGAGTGACCACCTGGAAGTTAACAGGCAACACTTTCCCCTCTGCTGTCCCAACGGGGCTGGGTGAGGTCATCAACTGCCTGTTTCTCTGCACCTGAGGAAAAAAGTTAATTGTAAATTCAGACTCATAAACAATGACTGGAGAAAATAAAGGAGGTAAGCGGTGAAACATGTACCGGCACTGGGCTGGGGACGGCTGCTACTACGATTCCAATGGTCGGCTGAGGGGACAGGAGAGCAGGGCTACCACAGGGGATGGTGGGGCCCGGGGTACTGGCTTCTGCCCGCTTCACTTGGGTCTCACTAGGCAGGGGTGAGTTAAGCTTCTGCTCTTGCTGCTTCTTCTGGATTTTGCGCTGCAGTTGCTGCTTTGCGTCAACAGAGGGAGACGGTAGGGTCTTCACCTGGGGCTGGAATGAGTTTGCCTCGGCAGTGGGAACAAACGCAGAGGCTGGAGTCGGGGTCTTCATTCCTGTCCAGCCAAGAATCAAGACACTTATGTTAAGGAATAATCTGCAATCAAGGTTCATCTTTCAAACTATCTTCTATTTGATTTAGCAGAGATACAGTGAAGGTTATGGAGTTGTACCAGATGAAAGGTGAAGCAGGTGAAAGCGACAAAAGAGTCAAAGAAAGAAAGAACAGATGGAAGGAAAAATTATAGAAGTAGGAAGCAGAGATAAACCGGAAAGACCAAAAAAAGGAAGGAAGAATATGAGGAAGGAGTTTTCAGAAACACAAAAACCATGAGGCTCTAAATAAATAAAATACACAAATGTGAACATCAGTATGGTTCTAAGACTATCTATACTGTAATGGAGGTGGTAGAGGAAAAATAACAAGCAATTAAAAATGAGGAATTCTCTGTTAGCATCTATATTGATATACAAATGCCCTTTGATACTATAGATTGGAGTTTATTGCTGAGAAAAAGAAGTGGAATGGAGGGATGTTATGCTTGGATAAAGAGTTATTTAGAAAATGAAAAGCAATGTAAAGAAATTAACCAGACTGTCACTATTTAGAAGAGAAACACGAGGAGTTCCTCAAGGCTCTGTGATTGGGCCAAAACTATTTGTACTTTACATTTACTTGGGTGACCAAAAGTCCGTATTTTCCGGGACATATCCATATTTCACGTCCTGTCCCGGGCGTCTCAGGTTTTTTTTAGAAAGTGAGGAAATGTCCTGATTTTTTAAATTACCTTCATTGGACCATTAAATTTACAGGCACTAGGGCACTGCGCACGGCGCTGCGTGTGAGCCGCGTCAGTGCAGGCAGCCCTGTTCTTAATCAGAATATAGATAGCGTGGCTGTCAGTACGCCAACAACATGCAAAAGCGCAAATTTATGTTTACCGATGATTTACAAAAGAGTTTCCCCGCTTTCAGAGCGGGTCGAGAAAAATGGGAGGCCTTGTGCACAGTGTGCAAAGCAGGCACATATGTCTCGGTGTCCAATGGAGGTGCAAGGAATCTGAAAAGCCACCTGGACTCCGAAAGTAAAGATCTATTGATATGTTTTGGTACGTTTTTGAATAATTTTTGCTACACAAGAGGTATTTTTTGTTAATTAGCTCATTTGTTCATTTATTTTTTCCAATAGCCTACAGAACAGACATTATTTCGTTCATTACTAAGGCTGAGTATCATGAGACATTATTTCTTTCATTGTGCTATTCATTCATTACAGGAATTGTTAAGCATTTTTAATAAATACATTTTGAATGAAATTATCGTTTGTTATTGGAACAGAGGTCCCAAACCTGCGTTGAATCTGCTGCCACCAAGAACCTTTTTTCTTTCTTTCTTTTTCCTTTCTTTCTTTTTAGTCTTTTTGGCACAGTTTTTACAACTTCTTTATTAATTGGAAAAAGTAACAAGGCAAAGGCCAGACTTTTAAACTTTTTAATCAGCAAAGCTAAAATGGGTGTTAATGTCCCGTAGAGACAGACTCCAGGAGAGATCTCGCCTTGGCGCCGTGGCTCTGTGGAGGTGCAACGTTGAAGCCAGAATCAGGCTGGAGTTTCACTTCCACTGAGCCACACAGAACATGGAGGACTTTATTCAGATGTGGGGTTTTAAAAACATTTTATGTTCTGTGTCAGATGATGGAGAACTGCATTTTAACAAGCTCCTCATTTAATGATTTTAACTGACACTTGTTTTATGTCAATTGTTTGTTTGAATTGTGTAAATAAAGTGTTGTTAAAAGTCCAAAAAAGTCTTTCTTTCTTTCTTTCCTTCTTTCTGTCTTTCGTTCTTTCTGTCTTTCCTTCTTTCC